CGCGGCTGGCGCTGGTCACGCTTGTCACCCGGGACCAGGCTGGGCTTTAGCATCGTATTTCGTGTCTGTCATATTGCCTGGGAAACTTCGCCAGCCTGATACAACTTCGAGCAAAAAGGCAAAAGAAAAAAGCCTGAGCCTTTTCATTTAATGTTACCGCTGCTGGAAAACACAGCCCGGCAAGTTCCTCTTAAAATATAATTGCAACATCACTCCTTTAGAGGAAGCGAGAGCTGGAACATAGGACCTCAGGGAAAGCACTTAATCTCTCCTTTTGTGTAACGTGGGAAAAGACTGGGCTTTTCTGTGCCGTAGGACTCTCCGCTGGGAGGTTTGATGTCTTTTAAAGTATTCCGAGGCTTTTCAGAAAGATTTTAAGTGCAAATTGCTCCTCTAAGGCTCTAATCGGCTGAATTGGAAATGAGGTTGGGTATTGGAAGAGTCTGCTGTGCTGTTTTTCTGTCATTTTGGGTGGAAAACGCAAATGAAACCATAGGAGTGCTGGACGTGGCTGGTCTGAAATTGGGGTATATTCACTCCCCAGCCCATGGTTCTGACACCCTTGTGAAACTTGTGTGCGCTTTCTTCTGCCTTGGGCTTGACTGACCTTGCTCTGCAGAATCCTTTGTATCATTGCTACTTCCAAGTCTTGTGTAATATCTGCTAGTGCTATAGAAATATATAAAATAGTTTTGATGACCGACTTGCTTCCTGCTTGGTTTTTCTCAAATCTTTTGAAACTCGGAGACTGAGATTAATGCTTTTCTTTTTTTCCCCTCCTTCCAATTCAACAGATGCAGTTTATGTTGCTTTTTAGTCGCCAGGGGAAACTGAGACTCCAGAAGTGGTATGTCCCATTATCTGACAAAGAAAAGAAGAAAATCACAAGGGAACTTGTTCAAACAGTATTAGCCCGCAAACCGAAAATGTGCAGCTTCCTGGAATGGAGAGACCTGAAGATTGTCTACAAAAGGTGGTTCTGTCTCACTAACCTCGTAATTGCCATACATTACAAACCTTGTATTAAGTAGCAAGAAAATAATGAAGGTTGTTCTTGTTTTGTTGTTTGTTTTTGGTTTTTTTTTTTTACTTCCCTCTGCTGGTTACAGAGAAGACTGACTTTTCTCTTGCATCTAATTTGATAACCAAGCAGGAGTCATTCATGTGTGGAAAATCACTCATGCATTGAGAAATGTACTGAAGAAATGAGCTTTCCTCCTATTTTTATAAGGAGTGGCAGTTCTTCCTGGTAGTCTGTTTAGATTCACGCAGTACGTACATGCTTCATATTTGTACACATTTCAGATTTAATAAGTGATAAAAATTTTATAAATATTTACCTCAAGAAGTGGTTTCATAAATCACCTGAAAATGTAACTTGCTTTTAAAGGCTTCTAGAAATAAGGAAATAGTTTTTCATAGTACTTGGTTCAGGTGTTGCCTTTTTTTGGGGGTTTTTTCCCCCCTGTATGTACAAAAAGCGATTTTTCATTATTGAAAAAAATTGTGGCTAGCTTTCTTTTGACGGAAGTACTATATAATTTTCTTCACGATAAATTCATTTTTCAGGTGTTCCTTAACCTTTGTAGGACTATTTGGCAGGCATTTTTTAGCTTTTTGCTGATCTTTAGAATGTATCAGAGTGTAGTGGTGTGAGCATAATTCTTCTCCAGAAATAACAGTAATCCTCCTCCTGATGTGGTATGCTGCATCTCTCCCAGCTAAAGGTGGTGCTACAAAGCCTTGAGTTATCTCTCTTCCCTAGTTAGTTGTAAACCTGAGAATGTTTATGCATTCCTGTTTTCTCATGGAGATGGTAGATAGTTTGTGCCCCACAGTAAATATTGTTGTATTCCCTGTAGATAAGACAGAAAGGACTGGAGCAGAAATGATCAGTTTGTAACTCTTCTTAAGGATAAGAAATGGGTAGAAGCAAATATGTTTAGATGTTTTCAGTGCTGCTCTCATATATACATTGGTTTGTGTGAAGATACATGTGTGAGTATTGCTGGTCTGCCTAATGCATGTAGTTCTTCAACACAGGAGAAAAGAGGAGAAGCAATGCATGAAGGTATGCTAATAGCAGACACAGTTTCTCCTGCCTCTTGATTGCCTCACAAAACTCCTAGAACATGTATGTAGACAAGCTTGCTCAAACAAGCTTGCTTGTGTGCTTCCTTCCATGTTAATGCCTGCAAGTGCCTTTTCAGCTGGGCATTCATGGGACTAAATCAGAAAAATGAGACATGAGTAGGCCAGTCTGTTCCTTCCTTACCCAGTCTTGAACAGCAGTAGTTGTTGTGGGGATGCTTCCACACAGCTGCTTTCCCTCCCTGTTTGTTGCTGTTAACAACTCCTTGCCACGTCCTTTTGTGTCCAGGAGCTGGTGGGAATTGGGGTAGGACTGTTTGAGTTGCTGAATGTTGTGGAGTTCTTGCATCTCAGTGGTGTGTTGTGGGTCCTGTGGTCAAGGAGAATGAAGAAATTTGCTGGGAGACATCTATGTCTGGCTAAAAATGGTCTAAGTACTGCAGTCTGTCTGCTGGACTGCTGGTGTGCACAGCTGACTGCAGTAGCTTTTTTCACTCTCTGCAGACCAGTCTGGCACAGAGAGCCTGTGGAACTGCTGAAGATGAGCTTGTACCAAGCTAATGAACATCTCAACTCTTTTTTTGACTGAAACATCACCAGAAGGACTAGGTGTAAGAGATGATATTTTAAACCTCTGTCTCTGGTAACACTAACAGCCCTTAGGTTTGTGGGACTTGTTCCCATCACTGCATCATAGTTAAAGATGATGAGCACCAGCTAGTATGATTTCTTTGTAAAGGGTGACTTTTTATAGCTGAGAAGGTGATGGGCTAAAAGCAAAACACACGAGAAGGAACTCTGTGGCTTGTGAAATTGCAAAAGGTGCTCACAGTTCCTCTTGAGCGTCTCCAGAGGCTTTCTGCTAAGATTCGTTCTTGTCTGATCTATTGCTGGGAGTGATCTGAACCTGCTGGTGCAAATGTTTTTTAATAGAAGTTGTGAAAGTATGTGCCTATTGTTATTTTGCATCTTAAATTCTTGGAATTTATGTGCTGTTTCTCTTTTTAGAGTGTGTTTGTTTTTCACAGGTAGGAGAATTGAACCTAGATATTGCAGCTCAGAGAATGTTTGGCAGTATCAGAGCTGTATTCAGGGTCTCATCATACCTTTTTGAAGGAATAAAATGAAGTTAAATGCAGCAGTTGGCAAGACAGGAGCTTTAACTTCCTTATGATACTTAACATTTATTAAGACTGCTGGACTATTTTGATTAGCCTCCTTAGCTCTGTAGCATTTTCTCTTTATGGGATGTTTTCTGAATTTTCAAGGAAATAGATCTTAAAATTCATTTAAATGTAGGTGATGTAGCTTTTATTTCCCTCTGGTTTCATACATGTACCATTTATAATGGCTGCAACACAGGCTCAGTCATTGCCTTATAAAGTTTTTTTCCTTCAGCACTACAGAGCACAGACAGAAAGGTGCACAGCTTTTGTCATGGTGTGTGAATTGGCTTCTATGTATTCTGTAGCTGCTTTGGAAGATAGTTTTTCAGGCTGATAGACACCAGAAGATTAAAAAGAGAATGTGGGCTTCTAACTTCAAGAAGCATAGAGATTTGAAGTGACTTGCTGGGAAAATAAAAAATTAAATATGGGAAGCCAACCACAATTATGGTTTATGAAAATAGAGGGGGAATCATCTGCAGACAGCTGATTAGAAACTTAACAAGCACAGCTGATGTGTGTGCTCTTCACAGTTTGTCATTTAAAAAGTAACATAGTGGTTTTGGAGCATATAGGGTAGAAGTTCATGCAGCTTTCCCCCTGTGGCAGAAAAAATGTGTTAAATGTTAAAATTTCTAATTTTTTCTTGGAAGACTTCTGTTCACAATTGTAACTTCTGGCAATATGAGTTATTTTCATTGTGTAGTATGTTGCAGTCAAAGTCAGAACTTGGAGAAAAACCTCTTTTATATAAAAATTTTACTTGGTTAGCATTTGTTTAGCTGCATTTACGGGACATAGTTTTGTTATTTAGTTATTTGATTAAGGATTGTGGCTTTGCTTTTATGTGTCAGTTTGGAACTGTATTTGGAATATGATATTATGAAACTACAATAGCTATTGCTCTCTTGATGTGGCAGTTGTCTTTTACTTTTGCACGACATAACCATAATCAGAGGTTATGTTAAAGATTTAGAATAAGTTTCAAAATTTTCTTTCTACCCTCCCTCCACTGAAAGAAGCAATGAAAGAACCCATTGTGCAGGTACTGTGTCTCTTCAGGTGTTGTGAGCTGAAGGTACAGCCATGTGGCCAGTGGAATGTGCCCAGCTTGGCATGATCCCTCTTTTTCCTTATGTATAACTTAGCAGCCAGTTGTACCTCTTCAAAGTATTACTGTGATGTTAGTCAGGTAGCTTTGTAAAACTGGCTGAATGCAATGATTTTAGTGAATTAGATACTTGGACTGGATAAATTTAATTAAAGTCTTCTTTGTACAGAATTTTAGCTTGTGTGGCACTAGGAGGACCTTTGTATCAAGAAGCAACAGCTTTGTCTTAGAGAATTAGCAGAATAAAATTTTTGTTCATTTTGAAACTGCTGGGGGCTATAGCCTTGCTGAAATAAGAAACTGGAAAAGTGTTTCACTTTGATAGACTATATCCTGGAGCCTCAAAGTTCATGGTTTTTTAAAGAAATGTGTAAAGTTGTGGGGCAAGAAAAAAAACCTTACATCAAGCACAGCTTACTAGTTGTCCCAGTTTTCATTGGGTTAGCCAGCAGCCAACCACAGATTCTTGGGCTCATTAAACACTTGTCTGCCTCCTCCTTGTCATTTAGAGTTCAGTTCTATTCTTTCCAAACTTTGTAAGCTTTAAACTTCCACAATTAGGATCTACATGCCAAGTGACTTAGATGCTGACAGACTTATGGCTTGTTTGCAGGCTTAGCTGGTGCTGAACTTGCAGGGATGACTTGAAGCAGGTGCTCCCTCATCAGGGAGAGCAGCGCTGAGCTGGTAGGATTTGGAAGTTGTGCTCTGCCCACAGTGACCTGATCTCTCAGCAGAGTTACTGAGCCTGGCTGTGAGAGCAGAAGAGGAGAACTCTGCTGAAGTATTGCCTGCCTGTTTTGAGGCTTCCCACTGCTGAATTATTGCAGCTCTTGAGGGAAAGATGCATGGATTTGTTTCCTGTCAGAAAAGAAAAATCTCGAGGCCATCTGTCTGAAGGCAGGAATCTGCATAAGTATTTATACCTGCTGTGTTACCTTTTTCTTCTTTAATCCTGTATTACATTTTCAGGTGATTTGATCCAAACATTGTTTGGTCTCTCTGGTTTTGGTCTCCTTTCTGGTAGGTGGAGGATATTTATCATAAAATATTGCCCTCATTTCCTAAATGAGGGCAAGCAACTGAACTGAGTCTGATTATTATTTTAATAATGTTTAGTGAGATAAAAAAAAGACCAGAACTACAATAGGAATAAAAAAGGCAGAATGTTTCTTACAGACTACACTTTATTTACTTCTGGGAATGTACTTTTCTATCAGGGTTTGCCTTTTCATCGGGTGCATATGAAGGTTTCTGTCAGGCCCATTAAGAAGAAGCTGTTTCTGCAGAGCAGAAATCTTTTTGAGCCCAAGTAATCTGCTTGTCTTTGTGTGGATACTGTCCATATAAACTTCTGCACTTGGCAAAACTTCCAGTGTCTGCTGTGGATTATAAGTTGAGGCTTTTTTTCTGAAGCCTTTCCTGCAGGGGAAAAAAAAATTAATGCCTCTGAGAATTTGGATCTGAAGCATTCCTTTGTAGTATGCTCATGCCCTTTGGTATGACTTGTTTTTACTCTTCTGCCTTTTGCCATTTAGGCTCATTAAATCTGCATTTGTTTGCTTTTGTTGAGTAGGGATCCATTAGTTATGGTTGCTACTTAAAAAATAAATACCAAAATATTCTCTGCATATAATAGTAGATACCCATGCCTCCATTTTGTGTTGATACCCACTTAGTAGTTTTTGTTTCTTGGTCTTATTTCTCCAGAACTGCAGTTGGCAGGACTTGAATGTGCAGTCTACTTGCTAGCTGCCAAATACAGTCTTTTGAAAGTATGTTTTGTGCTCTCTTAAATGAGGACACTGAGAGCAGACCATGTTCTGAGAAAGTATTTAGTGTTGGACTCCCTCTCTCCCCTCCTCCCTTCTTTTTCCATAAAATTGTTCTGTGTGTCAAGAGAGACTCCTAAGTACTAGAGGAGCAGAGATGGAGTTTCCCATGTGAATAAACTTAAAATATTTGAGTCAAATTTGATTTGTAAGGCATGTTGGTACGTGGTTCAACTTGTGTTTAAGCACTGTATGGAAACAGTTGAACTGCACTTCATCGTAATCAGTGCTGCTCTTGTGCAGTTGATGAAAGGCTTTGTTTACATGGATTTGGCCTGAGTGCTGGTGATTAGTGCAAATATCAAATAATGTGTCAATGCTCTTTTTTGCTACAATGAAATATGATAACATGGAGCTTGATTTACAGATTCCTCAGTAAGTTTGAAAGCACGTTTTTTCTTTATAATATTTCTTTCCAATACTTTTAAAAATAGTTTAGGTTCCTTATACAGATTGAATGTTGCAAGCTACAACAATGACTGTAAATGTCCTTGAAAAATTAGTGAGGCATAAACAGAACAATGCAGAATCAAAAGAACTGTGCTCACATAGGACTTGTGATGAGCTGATGAATCCCTGTGGTGAAGAGATGAAAGAGAGAGGAATGAAGGTGTCCTTCACTGAAGGTGTCTTCCTCTCTTCCCCCATCATGTTTTGTGGTAGGATAGGCAATAATATTTTATAGTAGTTTAAAGATTTTGTATGAGAGCTGTTCTGATTAATCTTTCATGTTGAAGCCGTAGCAATTTGATTTGGAGCAGAGCGGGAGAAGGGGGGACATTTTCAGATCATAAATGGCACTGGATAGGTGTCTTGGAGATGAAATTCAACATAACTGAAAATACAGCAGGGTTTTTTCAGAATTTCTAACTTCTAAAAAGTCTGACAAGTCCCAGCTGATAAAATATGTTTAATGTTTAAAAGATGGATGGGTTTCTCTGTATGGGAAACAACTATGCACCTTAAACTAGGTGTTCATATCTGGATGACTTATTTTTCAGTAGGGTTGGCTGCACAGGAGTGCTTAATGGGGCCAGTTGTCCCGTCTAGAGGCAAACAAAAGCTGTTTCTGGTTTGTGTAAATTAGCAGTTGCAACAGGTGGCACTTGAAATCTGGTCTGTGCCACGTGTGACTGAAAGGCATATGGTTTTGGCATGTTAGAAAAGACTAAATGGGGTTTTCAGCTTTCATTCCTGCTTTGTTTGTTTTTTTATTTTATTAGGTTTCTTTAAACGTGGCTTGAACAAATATATAATAGAGCACAGTAGAATTGGATGGTCTTTTTGTTGAAGTGGAACTGGATCATATCTGAAGTTATGACTTCCCTGTCTTCCAAGATGGAAGTGGATGCTAGAAACTATTATTTGATGGCTTCTCATCAGTCTTATGCTAGGACAGTTAGTAGGAATTGCATTGTTGACTTAGTAGTAGTTGGGGTGGATGACATTGGTGTTTGTTTTGGAGTTTTTGAGTTTTTAAAATTCTCTGTGAAGACCAAACCCTAATTGCTAATTCAGTCTATCTTTCTTGAGGCCTTATGGTTTTTATTATCTGTGTATAGCTTACATGATGATAGTTTAACATGGGATCAGTTGGTTAATACACTGGTGTGTGGATGTTAGAGAGAGAAGAGAAGGTATGTCATCTCAGAACTCTGTCATGATACCACAAATCAAATATATTTAGTTTTCCAACCACCTCTTTGGCTATTTTAGTTCTGTCAGCTAAAGGATGGCAGAGAGGGAAGTCATGCTTGACTCAGAGACAAAACACCCATGTACACGTATGTGTCTTCTGGTCTGTCAGCCATTCTTTGGCAGGACTTGCTTGGTTATGATTTGGATACCAATATGCTGAACTTGAGTATGAAGGACTGCTGAGAATGTGATACTCCTCATGTGCATTCATTTTGCTTACGCTTGTATGCTAACATCAGGATTATTTTGTTATTACAGATATGCAAGCCTCTATTTCTGCTGTGCAATTGAAGATCAGGACAATGAACTAATAACTCTGGAAATAATTCATCGCTATGTAGAACTTCTTGACAAGTATTTTGGCAGTGTGAGTTAAGTTTCTTTGTTTTGGCATTTCTTTTTATGCCCACAACATTTTTACAGGAACATAACCAACTAGTAATTGAAAGGTGTATTTAATACATTTTGTGTGGCTTGCTTGGCCAAACTAAGCTGATGGTTGCCTCTGTTAAAATACAAAATTAAATTATTGATTTGTAGAAGAACTTTCATTAATCTGGTGTTAATTGCCTGTATTTGTTTCATTTCATAGTAGTCTAACTTGGGGGTCAGATAAAATCTTACTCTTAACAGGAAGCTTTTCTTCCCCTGGCACTGCTCTAGTGTGAGCACCTCTTACATGTGCTTCCAGAGGAGGCAGTTGGTTGTGAAGGAGCAGGAATGGTAAGGAAAGGTGTGAGAGACATCTGCTTACCCAGACAGCAAACACAAACTGCTACAGTAATGTACATGAACGCTCCTAGAAAAACTGCTGCTCATTCTGCCTTCCTTCATAGGCCTTCTGACTATGAAATGCAGACTGAACAAGAAATCTGAGATTATTTATTTTCATATCTCTCTGTAAGACTGTGTGAGCTGCCTTTGCATACTGCAGGCAACAGGAGAACTTCTATAGGGAATGTTCTCTTGTGTCCTGAGGAGCTGTGTCTTACAGACTGCTGTGCATTGGCGCCTTTTTAACAGTGAAAGCTTTTTTCAGAGGTTGCTGTAGCTGTTTTTAACTGAAGAAAAAATCTGATGGTTTTTTTTTATCCTCCAAGGTGTGACTTTTATTATTGTCCCAGTCCTTACAAGGTTACAGCCTTAGGCTAACATCATGATTTGGTAAAGCTTGGTGAAGCTGTGAACAAGTTAAGTTTTGTGAGAGGATATACCTCAAGTGAGAGTGTCCTTCCACTTTGCAATAATGCCTGATGTTCTTTTTAGGTCTGTGAACTTGATATCATCTTCAATTTTGAAAAAGCCTATTTCATTTTGGATGAGTTCCTTTTAGGAGGGGAAGTTCAGGAGACATCCAAGAAAAATGTTCTTAAAGCCATCGAACAAGCAGATCTCTTACAGGAGGTAAGCACATCCAGCTTCTCTGGCCACAGTGTCAGCATGGTAGGCTGGGACTCAGAAACCTCCTGTTCCTCTAAGCTTCTAGAAGGTATTTTGTAGCATGCTTAGCATGTAGTTTCAGCTGGTTGTCCTAAGTGTGCAATAGGATGATGTTAGCTGCTCTTTTCGTTTGGTTTGGCATGTTGACTTTGTAACCTACTGTGACTTCATGTTCTGCTAGTAAATGCAAGTGGCTGTTCTGTGTTTGTACCTAGATAATTGTAGATCATGTTAATTTAACTTAGAGTTGTTCATGTGTCTTTCATTCCTTCTTTTTATTTATTAACCATTAATTTTTTTCTCATACCTGATGCATGTCCACTTCTTTACTTTTTCATTGCTGAAATCCAGAAGCTAGACTCTCTTCTTTGAGACTTGTTCAGGTATAGTTCTGATTAGTTCTTAGACCTGCTTTTCTGCTGTAGGCTGCTTACTCTGGAACATTTCCAAGCTGACAAAGCAGTGATAGTAGTGCCATAGAAACATACAAAATAAAGTATAAGAACATTTTTTTTTTCACTTTGAATGCTTTTGTTGTTTGTTATTATCACAGAAGAATGATGGATTGCATGTCTACCATTTTTTAAAAAAACATTTGATGTGAAGGGGTTCAATGGTATAGAAAAGCTTAATTTAATTTCTCCATATTTCTCCATTCTGTGCTGGTTATTTTGGGTTTATCTGATTTTGTTTGGTTTTTTTTTTCCTTACTGAAATGTACATTGTTAAGGTCCTTGAATGTCTGAATGGGAATCAAAAATTGTGGTGTGCTGCAGAATCATCAAGTCTTGTGTGCAAATCAGTGAACATATGCTTTAACAGGGATGGTTCACCTTTATTTTTTAAAGTCTACTGAGGTTTACAGTTTTGATGCTATATAGATCCAAGTTACTCTATTTCCCCCTACATGAGCCTTCAGTTTGTTATTTTCTCCTATGAGCTAAGTGCTTAATTCTTTTACAAGCCTTCTGTGTTCCTCTTGGTAGTCTTTTGTTGGACAGTATTAGTAGGATGGGGAAGCACAAGGTGTTCTTTACCATGGTAGCTGGTTTTTTTTTAATCCCTTCAGAATACATGCAGATCCACTACACATTAAAGTTCTTGTCATGAACAACGTCAGCCATTACACACAGATTTGCTACCCTATTTTTCTAGAAAGGAAATACATGCACTTATTTACTTCTTGTGTTCTGATTCAAGTCCTCTTTACTCTTTGTAGGAATTATCTTAACCAGAAGTCCTGTTGCAGTATACAAAGAGGGGACAAAAATGATGTGTTCATTCTCTTAAAATCTTTTGCTCTTTATATGAAAACATATGTAGCAGATTAGTTATATATTCCAGTTTGTCTCCTGCAAATACAGTTAATTGTACATAAAGTAGAATAACTATATTCTTTCTCATTGTTACTGTTTTTGAACTTTATTTTCACTACTTTTGAGTGTGGGCTGGTCTAAAGAAAAACACATTTCTAGGAATTCATTACTATTTTTCTTTCCAAGCAACAAACATTCTCTTTTTACAGAGAATATAATTTCATATTAATATAACTTGAAGTTAAAAATCTTAGACAAAGGGAAATATCACTTTTTCAATGTGAGACTTTTTCTTAACCCTGGTAGCTTTACTCTGATACCCTTCCTTTCCCCATCTTTAGGAGATTTTCAGTTGCCAATGTTTATTAAATAATTTTGATTAAATTGAAATGTAGCAGTTTATCACAGCACCACTGGAGTCCTACATTGGGCTTCTGGTGTTTTTCATTCTTAGTTGTATTGACTGTTGATCAAGTATAACACTACTCCCTATACCTGCTTTTTATAAACCCTGTAAAAGTCAGGGTTCAAATTAAATTGAGCTTCCGATAAATTTGGACTACTGCTGCTATGTAAATGCTGGGTTTGATGAAGAGAGTTGTTAAAATAAGTTTCTCACATGTGGAGAATTTTTAGTATTTTGGGTTAATACCTGCTTCCCAGAAGACTTCAGAACTACCAGACTGAAACATGATGTAATTCCAAATACAAAACATATTTTTAGCAGGTTTGTCGTGTGTTTGCTTTTGACCATTCAGATTTTCATTATGTGCAACAAAGTAATTATTTTTGCCAAACATGTATATGTACATATGTACACACATACACATATATAGATAAATACACAATATTATTAATTGAGTACACAACATTATTAATTAATAATGCTACAGGCATTGGTGTCTGAAGTACCTTAAAGATGAAGAGCTGTAAAGAATACTTACACAAAAGAAAATCATTACAGATCCATTAAGTGACTGTTTGTGTAATGTTAGGAGGAAATACACTAAGGCACAAATTGCTGAGTAGTGAATTAGTTCTTAAGCAGCCTTTCCTACTTCTATTTTCTGTTGAAGTTTCCCAGGATGTACTTCTGTGTCTGAGCACCTACTTCAGTTTGTCATAAAGTTCTTGGTGCTGTGAGCTCCCTTCACTAACTGCTACAGATTGTGTGATGGAAGCACACCAACTTGTTTAACCCCTCTCACCTTCACATTCTTGTTAGTTCTTTAGGAATGTACTTAGTTCAAGTATTCATTCCCTAACGCCTCCCCCATATTTATTGCCACCTGATAACTTATCAGCAGTCAGTCATCAGTATTGGCAGTGGTACCCAGATGAAGGGTAGTAAAAGGTAATTAACTCCAGTGCTTCCATTCTTCCTTGTCTCTCTATTGTAGAAATGTTTCTCCTCAAAAGAATGCTGATGATTTTGTATCTTGTTTGCTAGAGAGATTTTAATACTTAACTAGTGATTACAAAGGTATGCACTGCTGAAAAGGTAGTTTTTGCTTGTGTGAACAACTCAATTATACTGAGGAAATTGGTAGATGCAGTGTGGTGTTGCATGAATTAAATATATACATGTGATGTGTGAAACAGCTAAAAGATGAGCCTGTGCATCATTTTGTGACACTTGAGATTTTTAAGGCGTGAAACTACCAATGATAGATGTTCTATACAAAAGAGAGATTTTGATTTATTTATCTCAAAAGTCTAATTGCCCTGGGTTTTTTTGGATGGCTTCAGTAGTTCAGTATGGTGCTTGGAGGTTTGTGGTCGTTTCCTGTGCAAAAATGTTGAAATTAAGGAGTCAATAATTATAATATTTAAACAGAGCAGTCATGTATATATTTTAAAGCAAATCTGTAAGACTTGCTCCTCTTAATTTGAAGTAGGAAAAATTTCCTAAACATTGGCTATGAATGAAAATGGTTTTTGTTGATTATCTAAGGCAAATTTTAGAAGAATATTTTGGAAATCATCCCCATTTTGTTCACCACTGTTCTTTTGTTGGATTTTTTGTGTAACTTTTAATACTTGGTTGCAGAACATCTAAATATTTAAAAATATATATTTTTAAAGAGGTTTCTAAATAAAAAGGCCAACGAGTCTCCACAAATCAGACTTGCTTATTTGTGTCACTGCTTCAGTAATGATCAAAAACTTAAAAGCTATGTGAATGTTTTTTTTCTTAGGCTCTTGCAGTTTGGCCTCAGGCAGTATTTACTAGTCCTTCCACATGAAGAATAAGAGATAAGCTATCAATTAACCTTATTTTCTTTGCTTTCAAACCCTTGCCTCATCCTATATCCAGAAGGGTGCTGACAGTGTTCATGTTGGCTGACTTGCCTCAGATGCTTAGGGTTGCTGCACAGATTTAAGCTTTTGGGTTTAGAATGAGCATCTTTGGAAATGAAACTCTGGTGAATTTCCTGAATATGCTATGAGAATTTTCTTATTAGAGATGAAATGTGCTTATTGGAAACCATAGGTTTGAAAGTATGCATAATAGTAGGTATTAGGTTGTTCTTGAGATGTGCCAAAACTCCTTAATTTTGTCATTAGCACTGTAAAAATTCTTATATTTATGCCTCCAGTGGGTGGGAGTGAGTATAAGGGATTTTGTCTGATTTAGGAAACAGACTTCGTAAGCATCTTTGTATTACCATTTGCCTGAGAAACTGACCATAATGAATGCAATTAATTCAGTCTACACTTAATGTTTTTTCTTAAATATGAACTGTTGAAATGGACTGCCTTTCTCAGTTGGCAGTGGCATTATTTGCCTTGGCTGTACCTGTGTTCCCCTGAATGTGAAACAAGAATGAATAATGAAGTCTTTATTATCATGGAGATCCAACTGCCTTGACTGTCATCTTCTCTTCACATATAACTTCAGTCTCACTTTCAGGTGGTCAGCTTTGTTGATCAGTTGGTCACTGTAATTTTAAGACATGCATCTGCTTGATTTTAGGCACAGATAATGATTTACATTTTAGAAGATACGTATATATATTGACCTATGAGAGTTACTGTGAATGAGAAATGATAGATTTTTAGTTCATTATTTAGGGATTAGGAAATAGCTATGATTTTTATGGATTTAGAATCCCTCCCAACTCACAGAAGAACAAGTTGTAGTGTTTTGGTAGCTGATGCTTTTGTAAAATGCGTTTCAGAACTGAGTCTCTGGAGATGTGTTTACAGAAGAAAGGGGTTACAGTGCTGTTAGAGTGTTTGGCACTCTCCATGACACTCAAAAAAGTCATGTCAATCAGAGGCAGTCCCAGGTGACTGGGAAGAGGGAAGCTTTGTACCCATTTCAAAAAGGGTAGAAAGGAGGACTGGAAACTACCAAGCTGTCATCCTGACTTCTGTCCATACCTGGAAGGATCATGGACCAGATCCTCTTAGGAGCTGTGCTAGGGCACATGGAAGCCAGGGAGGTGATTTAGGACAGCCAGTATGGCTCCACCAAGGGCAAGTCCTGCCAACCCCTTCTCTGGGTTGGCCTTTTATAATGGAGCAACTCTGTCAGTGGGCCAGGGGAGGGCTACAGATGCCATTTATCTGGGCACAGTTCCCCACAGCATTGCTCTCTCTAAATTCAAGAGGGGTGGATTTGATGGGACAGTTACATCCAAA